CAATTATGCAAAACACAACTTCAGAAGGAAAAAAACAGAGGAGAACAAACTGACCTGTGTATTCCAGTGGCTCAATGTGCCAAAAATTGGGCAGCAAGTACCTTCCACACCGTTCAGGCTAAAAATACTTTCATTCCATTCAAAGTCAACAATGTACCACATTTTCGGCTTATTAAAAAATTAAGAATATGACAGGCAAAACTGTGGAAAAATAAAACCTTTCATGCGTCGCATATTCAACGTGTATTGGCTGAGCTGACGGTGAACAAAACCGAAACTCGCATATGCTAAAATAGCTGGTGTTTGCTACTAAACCGTGAATGAGTTGGAATTTGAAATTCCTCAGTGACAACATGATCGAAGAAATAAATAATTAATAGAATAGCATTCGGAGGCGTTTTATAGCGTTAGGACGGACAACTCGTCCACTTCGAGTAGGCGGTTGTTTTTTGCGTTTTTCTCGCTTAAAATTCATTTTTTGGCGATTTCCTCGCGCGGATCTTTAATCTTCGGCCAATAGAAACAGGAGTCCAGAATTGATCGAGAAATGTCGTATATATCAGAGATACTCATAACAACATGCAATGATAAAATGAAAAGAAGAAAATAAAAGTTAAACATTAAATCGAGAAGAAATTCAATCTCGATTTTGCTAGTGTTGCACCAAAAACTGCCCGCAAAAACAACGAACTAAAATGACCGCGCAAATGAAGAATGACACTCTGTTCCACTCGAAACTATTTGAATCCAAGTTTTCTAGCGCGAATTGCAGGCGGCTGCTCTCGTGGCAGAACATTGTTCTCCCAGAATTTCTCACGGAACAATTTGATATATTAATTGCTACCTGGCGGGTCCGGCACAGCAGTGGTCCCGTGGTAGAATGCTTCACTTCTATGCGTACGACCAAAGAAAAGGTCCCTAAAGTAAAAATGTGGAAGCATTACGGTCTTTAAATGATACAACGTGCAAACAAGTACTATTTACAATACTTCATTGGAGTTTCTAATTGAGTAATTCGAACTCAGAGTAGTGAGGCTTACTACGATTGTCACAGTGTAAGTAGGCAACGTCTGAACCTTGAGGTGCGGTGAGCATGATTTTATCCTGAATAAAAAATAAAGGATAGAGCTCTCGGCGTTAATCAATACCTGAGGGATGCGCCATGCACCATCATTAATATCGCTGGAGATGATTGAATCCAAATCTGGTCTTTACAACGACCCGCGGTGGCCTACCGATGTATCGAGCCTGTGCTGTTGTCCTCACAGACAAGTCTGGTGCCAATTTGCCGAACCCGGAGGAATGGAAGGCTTGGTGAACCATTGGCGCTGGGATGGATTCCATGTGTGTGTGTCGCAGTGGAGCCTCTAACCACTGCGCTACACCGGCACTTCATGCTCAATATCACTCAGAATCCCTTTCCAAACAAAAAGACCCAGACTTTTAGCTAATCGATTATGTAAGAAAAATATGATATCTAGCGAAAATTACAGCCCATTCCTCATGAAAAAAGCAGAAAAAACCACAACGGATGCTGTTACAGATTTCAGTGGAAGTAGCGGTGAACTTCTGGCATGGTGTACAGTCACGGTTACTACGAACGAATAGTAGGTGAATTTAGTTGAACAAACCGTCATAAAATTTCTCAATAACAGACAGCAGATTTAAAAGTAAGATTTATGCGATAACCGGATTGCATACGAAGTAGAATACAACGTTAGCGATAATTAGGCGTGAAAAACGCAAAGTTGGCCGTAAACCAACGAATTAAAAACAGTGGAAAACTTCCAGTTGTTAGCCGCAGTCCCTCCATACAACCGTGCGCTTAGGTAGCTCACAGTGCTGAAAAGAAAACCCTATAAACCAGTTCAAGTCAGGCGGACAGACTTTGATATTTCGAATACCGTGAAAAGAAAGTGTTATATTGATCACTATTAAGAGACCAAAACAACAACTGATGGCCAGACTCAAATGAAGTAACAGCGTCAAAGATGAAGATTCTAGTGAAGACTCTGGGCGCTTAAGAAAACATGGGCGAAATATTAGAAAAGGAGACGAAACCGTGTCACCTACAACGTGAAAACTGGAAAATGTTAAGGCTTCTCATAAGTATCAACAGATTTCTGCCTTTCGAAACCCTTCAGTTATTTCAAGTATTTCGAATTTAAAAATAAAGAGCAATGTAACAGATCTTTGCATAAGTCACCGCTACAAAATGCGAGAGAAATCGATATTCATGTGTACTGACCGGCACGACAAACGCACGCGTCACTACAAGTTGACCTTCTTCTCATTTCTCAATAACAACACGAAACTTAACATTTTTTGCACACTAAGTGAGCATAAATGATCGCTAGCTTCACCGAAATGTCATTATGTTAGTACAAATGGTCCCTTGATGACAGTGATTGGAAATAGAGGAATTCCATGAGATACACAAAAAACATTTTTCTAGAAAACAAGAGGTTCAGTGGTAATGCCGACCAGTTGCAATAGAACGCTCAACGCTCTCGAACTCAATAAGGCACAAGCCAGGCATCAAACATGTGCAGCACAGCTGCAATGAGATTGACGCTCATCGCTTGAAAGTCGTCCCTACCTGACCATACAACTGAGTGATCAGAAGCCTGATCGCTTGCCGTCTTCGGTCTTCTTCACTTAGTTGTAGAATACCAGCATAAACGGGAAAAGAACGAATAATTCAAACGACATAGTATCATACACTATTGACTGAAACGGGTATTTGCGAAAACCACCACAAGAAACTAACCCGTCGGCAAATATTGTTGCATGTAACTACACCTAGTCGGAAGAAATTAAAGAAGCTTCTTCGAAGATTTTCGAACAGAGGGTGACAAAATAAGAATTATCTCGTTGGATACCATGATTATCTTGATGAAAATATTATTTAAGCTGCCTCTAATGTCAAACAACTTTCCCGATTCCCTTAAATGAGCTCAAATATCCTGCTAGAAAAAAGAAACAGCGTGCTATCAATTATTTCCTCATAAATCGTGAAAAAATCCTCTGCAGCAAGCTACTAAATACCTTTTAAAAGGCTTTAAATTACTAGTGTTTTGTGTTACAGAGATAATGTCAACCCACCAGCATACACATCATCATTTCTGGACTCGTTTTTGCCTTCATTGACTGAAGAAAATATGTAAGAAATACCACATACTTCATAATCTTAAAACTATTCTAATCTAACTAAATCGCAAACGACTAAGGTGATGGATGATCTGTCTCTTCAATGCACGTACACTTGCATCTGCATGCTCGATAGAAGACTTGATCATGCAAGCAAGAAGGATAAAATAAGACGTCATCAGACTGGCCTAGAAGAGACGAAGCCACGTATTTAACCCCATCCATGACACCGGAAAACTGTTCCTCGGAACATGCGACAATAGAGGACTCGGCGGCAACGGCGTTCTTGTTAACAGGAGTTTGATCGTGAATATCGATTCATTCGAACAAGTAACACTGAATACCAATTTTACGGTCGAAGAGATGTAGATCAATACCGGCTTTGACAATCTTTGTCGCTTACATGCCGACATCAAACCATGACAAAGAAAAAGTCGAAGCGTTCTATATGGACTTGGAGAAGGTCTACAGGGAAGACCACACGTTCTTCAAGGTCATCTGAAGAACGTTACACTAGGACCCACGGATAAAAATGGAACGAAAGGGTGAGCGGCTCTATGAGTTTGTCATGACGACTAAGACAATCCATGGTAACTCGCAATGCGAAAAGCCCAGCCGTAAAGCACGGACATAAGAGTCTTCCATAGAGAGTACCATAACGAAACAGACCACGTCATAGTAAATCGATGGTCTTGCCTTACTGATGTCGCTGTTGGCCCAAAATTCTACAAGGAATCAGACCATCGTCTCTTTCGCGCAAGATTCCATTTCTCGCGGAAAGGAGAGAAAGGCGGTGAATTCAAAAACCTCAGTCTCACAACCACCATAAACTGGGACTCATTCAATTCATTGGTCGGCCGTTGTGAAGATACAGTTCTCTATAACATAGACGAAAAATACAATCGCCTCGCTTAACATCATATCAGTGTTAAGAAAGTTTGAGAGTTCTAAAGTCACCAAGAGACGTCTGCCTCCAGAAACACTCGTGCTGATACGCTAGCGTGGAACCGCACGAGCTGGCTACCGCTAACTTACACCCGAGCTTGCAAAACAATGCAATTAGGTGATAAAAGAAAATCATAGGAAAAGAAGCCCAGCAGTTATGGTCGAACCTTAAGATTTAAGAGGCTGGGGAAAGCATCTGCAAAGTATATCAATGCTTCACCAATTACTCCATCGAGATAACTGTACTCCGAGGTGCAGACAGAACAGTAACAATGTCGAGAAAGGCAATGGAAAAAATAATTCACGGGTACTACTCAGATCTTCTCAATATCCACCTCGACCTTCTTTCATATGAAATAAAGGAGGATAGATATTTCGTACCACTGCTTCTCCTTTACGAAATTCGACATGCTATTTCGTCAGTGAAAAATCGAACAGCAACAGGTCCGGACAGGATAAGACCGGAACACCTGAAGAACCTTCCGGCAGCCTTCGTAAATATATTGGCTCGGCTGTTCACACGTTAGCTGTCTGAATGCAAAGTCCCTACTCAGTGGAAGACCAGCAAGACCGTGCTATTGTTCAAGAAGCGTGACCTCTATGATATCGAAAACTATCGCCTAATCTGCTTGCTGTCTGTCGTCTACAAACAAAGTAGTTGGAGCGTTTCCACACGGATTGCGGAGAGAGAACTTTTCCCAGACAAATCTGGTGCCATGTTTACGACTTCAGAATTACGAAAGGATAGGTGAGCCCGGAGCGTCATCAAGCCAGCACCCGTGCTCATCATGATCGGCACAACAACCAATACGGTCTCTGTTCCCTTAGTAAGGAGTAGAAGAGAGTAAAGCAGTCCGTAAAGTAAAGATAAATCTACGAACAACAATTCAATAAATCTGCTCAACATGGAGAAAAGGAGAGAAGATCGTGAAGGGAAAAGCGTGAGAAGAAGACAAGACCAACACCTTTTTTTGTAACAAAAAAGTTAAGAAAGTTTCAGCAAGCTCACAAACAATTTCGCACCCGGCATGGTAGTTTTCACCAAAAATGCTGAAAAGGACGGATAAATTGATGAAGAGCTGACAGTCTTTTCCGGAGACGTCCGATAGATGATCTGGCGGCCTTAATCCGGCTTAAATATCACTGATGATGCTGTAAAATATCGACCGTGACATATATATGCATATATATATATATATACGCATACATTTAAATACACAGGTTGCATTCAACAAAAAAAAACCAGCAACGGTCGGACCATGGCAGATTATTACTTTGTTACGGGGAGGAATGCAAATAACAGTCGGGGCAGGTCTACCGAACTTTCATAGGTTCTTTCAAAGCTTCCATGATGGTTGCCCTCTATTTAAATGGCCAAATACATCTTTATGAGGTATAAAGCTATCAGAAGGCCAGAAACAGAACTGCTACCTCCCGAGCTTTAATAAAATCTGCCTAACTTCTGGATCATAAGTGGCCCTGGTTTTCTAGGTTCATAATGCTCTCTATGGAAACTAAAGTGTCCATATTAAGATTGGTGGGTTCCAGAAATTTTTTTGTCGGACTATTCGTGGTCACTCCATAGCGAATCTAAGGCAGATCAAAGTAGGTGAGGGGGAAACCAGAAAAGCCTTCCTGTAGAATTTTGACCGGTAGTTTAACTAAAAGCCAGCTGTTACTTCATTTCAACCATAATGGCTATGGCGTGGAATTTGTGGATACAACAAGCACCAAAACAGACTCAAAATAGAGTTCAAAACACTTCCAAATGCAAACCAATGTATTTGTATAGTAGTGGAACGCAGTAGCACAAGGTAGACATGAGGAAAGACTTTTCATGGTTGAAAAACCGGAAAGTCTGCCACCGACGAAAAATGCTTGTAATCGTTTGGCTTAATCACAAAGCACGGAAGACGATCGTTCTAGGATATCCCCGCAAACGCAGGCGCGTGAATCAGGGAAGAGCGGGAATTCAAAAGTATATTAGTTAATCTCATTACGACGTCTTCTTGCTGTTTGTTGCTGGAGCCATTGGAGTTTGTAGACAATTTTGAGGAAAAGAAATGATCAAATCCACATTGCATTACATTTTTAGCTTTGCTGATTTGCGCTGTGGGATCGTATAAACACAGTCTCTTGTTTTCTTTTGCTACATTAAAGAAGATCAACGACAATGCTATTTGATGAAGCGATCTCAGTCTTGGACAATATTCATGAGGAACAGGTCCAGCACTCGACTGATCTTGTTTCGCTAGGTCTCACCACCATAACATTCACTCATAGATAACCATTATTGCTAGCAACTTCTAGCTGTCATTAAAGCCAGAACAACACTTTGAAAGGCTGAGCTTCGAATGGACTTTGAGCTGCGAATGGTGAGAAATCATGATCGCGTAAATGTCTTGGAGAAAGGTTGTCGGCACTATATTACGAAAGTGTCGTTCTCTTTTTCAGCAATCGCGAGGTTGTTATTCAGCACACGTTTACTTACGTACAAAGAGAACACGTACAACACGATGGTAGCTGATGTTTCGGCAGTACCGCTTTTTTCAGGACCTGGAAGGGTTCACTGGTACGTGATTGACTAGGTCAAACGCTTCAATAGCACAAACAGAAAGATGAAAAGCTTCGCGATAATTACACTATTAGCAGCTTTTCGAAAAACCCACTGTTTTTTACGGGACTTCCACCGAGGAAGAACATCCGCTTAAAGTCGTGTATGGTTGGTGGCTGCACCACCGCACATTAAAAATCAACTCTGAGCTAAGGGGTTTGATCACGTGTTATCCCAAAGCATTTTTCCCCTACCATTAATTCTTGGATTCTTGGCATTTGTCCAAAAAGCCTCGAGAAGTTTGCGCTTGGGAGTTTAGGCATCCTATGCGAGGAAAACGATTTTTATATCAAAATCGTCTCCATTATGGTTTTGTATACAGCGCATCCCTAAATAGCGTACCTTGGTCTTAGTTTTTTTTCACCATCTAGGCGCTCTTTTATACGGATACATAATGGTCTGCCCGTTTCGCTAAAATATTCGTCTCCGCAAGTCCTACATGAGATCAGGCATATCGTACCTGAACCCATGCAATCACCATCCCTGCAGTAAGGGCAAATTACTCAATTTCGCGTTTCACATAAAGGGTCATACAGGCGGTTAAGAACTAACTGTCGTAGTGGAGTATCCGGTGATATTTCAACTATCACCATCGGTTCCTCTAAACCTGCCCTACTTAAGCATTGTTTTATAACTACGCTTATTTCATCACTGATCAAGGGCGAAATAAACAGGATTTTGTTTCGGCCAAACCGTTTGTTTTGTGGCGTCGCTTTGCTTTTAAATTAATCTCTTGAAGTTACTATTTCGTAACCATTGGAGATGGTTATTTGCCGAGCCAACTTACGCGATCCTTCCTCACTTCCTTAGTTGTGCACACAGAGGTAGATTTTCGAAACATGTTCTTCACAAGCGCCCTGTTTGTTGTGAAGGGTAGGAAGAGAGGAAATGAACCAGCATGTTTTTGTTATTTGGTTTTCGGTACCACTTTGTCATGTAACCGCTACTTGATTTGAACGTTTAGAAATGGAAGCCAGATCGAGTAATTCAAAGTTTTTCCTGTTTCGTTAAATTCACTGATTATCCTCTCCACTTCGTTGGTACTTCTCGAAAAGATGACAACATCATCATCAAAACGAAGACAGACAGGAATTTGCCGCTGATATTATGCTTTCCTCGTCCCCATTCGAGCGATTTTATTATCTACTATATCGTAATGCAACTATAAACTTTGACGGAGCAATTTCACGTTGCGTAAGTTCCTTTCCGATGGAAATGGCAAGGTCGTTGCACGAGGCGCATTTTCGTACTGCAGTTACGACTGAAGTCCGGCTGAACGTTTTTGTATAGAACCGGTCTTCGCTTTAATTGACAAGAGCTGATAGGTTTGGATTCTTTTCGATAATGTCAAACTTCATTTTGACGAATGGCTAAGGCAAGGAGCAGATAGTATTCCGAACAAACTTCTGTGATCTAGGACACGGTCTATGGATGTGCTTCGTTCAAAACCCTTGATACGCGCACCGGGATGATCGTCGTGAAGAACTTGTTGCGCACAATCAACAAGAAAATCAATCAACAGTTGCGAAGATCCCTTCAGTCACCCTTTTGAAGGAGGGTGCAGAGGCGTGATGTCTTCGAATGCTCTAGAACCGTTTTGACGACAACATGGCGTCTCATATGGGTTGCCAGGAAGTACATGTAGTTTATGGCTTAAGACGCTAAGGAAGTCGTATGTGCTGCTGTCTGGTACTAGGGCCTTTTTTCGTGCTTTCTATTGTAATGCGAACATCAGAAGGAATAGTGGGGTTGGTTTTTCCCTAGAGGGGATTTTAAGCCTCACGCATGAGACGACATGGTAGGTAACAGAGGGGTGCCTGTATGTAGTCTTTTTCCGTAACAACAGTTATTTATAAGCTCTATCGCTCGACGAGAGGACAAAATGTTTTCGCAATTTGATCAACTGTATATTTTTTACGTGAGCGAAGTTTTATCGGATAAAAAAGTGATTTCGGAAAGCAGTTGTTTTAGTTGTAGGAAAGACAGAGCGATTGATTGCGGTTGCAATACCTAATTACTATCAGTAGAGCGATAAGGCCAAAGTGAAATTCTTCCTGTTGTGTTAATCCGTTTAGTAGACGAAGTTCGTTAATCGACCGTTGCTTTCGGAGTTGGATTACATGTTGCCATTTGGTGGGATGTTTGAAGAATTGGTATATTTTTAAAAATGACTAGGACTAAACTACACATAACTCGTATATAATGCTGAGATACTTGCAAAACTCCGGTCTGCAGGTGTATGAGGTGGCAAAAGAACAATAGAACTAGATGAGAGACAGGGAAAACGAAGCGCCCGGATGGTGTGGTGGTGAAGTGCGCTACTTCCCGGAAGGGACAATAGCGAGCGTTTGTTCCCCGCCGCATACACCTGCGGTTCGGAGTTCTGCAAATATCTCAGCATTATATTCGAGCTATATTTCGCAACATACCCTGCCATTAAAAAGAAAAGGCAGTAAATAAAAGGGTTAAGATTGTGATTAAACTACACATAGTTACATGCTTAGATAATTGGCTGGCTCGTATAAACTGATTGTGCGGACCCCAGGAAAATTTCCACTTTTCCAGGAGCCTACTGGCTTAGCCATTGTGGTTCCCTGGAATCCCGAGGTCAGCAAGGCCAGAGTCTGCCCCAGTCATCACCAACACAGGCAGTCGCCGCCCTTGTGGATCAGATGGAGATTTGCCTCCATACGACCAGTGTGATATCAACACTGTGGTGGATCCTGGTATTGGTTTTCTTCTAGCTGGACTTCCTAGTGGAAACGCCAGGCTCCTTCTTAGATTGGGAGATCCAGTCGAGGATGAACCGCACGCTGTGCATCGCAGCCGGGCACCCAGAAACAATTCTGAACCGCGACCACGCAGTAAACTGTTAGGAGGAAAGTACAACAACTAACAGGTAAACAGTGGAAAGAGGGCACTCATTTTTCGTAGGAAAGGTTGTTAGCGTGCGCATAGTTGAAAGAGTTTTTTTAATTGAAAACTGTGCAGTGCTTCAATTTCTTTGGTTCTGGAACTAAGTTTTCCATTGCGTGACGAGCCTTGCACTGCCGTGACGTTTTGACAGTGATTATGGAAGTATTTCTCCGTATCGGTCGGGATTTCGTCTACTGGGCCTTATTCATGTTGTTGATCTATCTTTGGAATTGTAATTGAGTAACAACTATTTTTTTTACAACATGTTCGTCTTGTTAGGTTATTTATCATTGTCATCACTAGTCGTTCCTCTCAATGGTTTACCGCCTCTTCTAGGCTGAGATGTGTTCCTTGGTGTCGGGCTGCGACGTACAGTGGTGACGTTCCTCCCTTCGCAGGGTCGCCTATACTGTGAGGGCGTCCATCGCTTCCATCAGGAAGCCTAGCTAAGAGTAAACTAATACCAGTATCGATTTACCACCGCCCTGGTGGTAATTTAGTCGCACGGTGGCAAATCTTCCTCGGATCTGCAAGGCCTGCGACTGCCAGTGGTGATGGAGATCTGGGACATACTTTAGTCATGGTGACCTCAGAATTCTAGGCAACCGGCTAAATCAACAAATCTCGCAAGAAATGGGGATTATGCTGAGACCCGCAAAATCAGTGAGGATGAGCCATTGATGTTTGAAGAATAGATCTTGCCTGTGTTCTAATGAAGTGCAATATGTGCCAGAGACGTGGTAATAGTAGTTGGTTTCCGTAGTGGTTTGTGATATTTCGGTTGTAATAGGGTTGTAGTGTGATCAGCGTTTGTTTAACATAAGGTGGGTGCATAACTGTGTGATTACGTTAAATTATCCGTGCGTGAATTGCAATGTTTCTTTTGGAATGTGACTTGGTTAAAGCAACAGCGTTTGTTTCCTTTATCGCTACTGTTCACATCCAATTTGGCCGAGTTTGGCTTGAAATTGCTGCGCTAATCTTCTCTTTTTGTCTATAAGGCAAAATTATAAGTTCTGTTTCTCGAGATTTACAGAAGAAGACGAAGATGTTTTCTTATTTCGTAGATGACTGTCTGTTTGACCATATTCAATCGAACTTATACCACTTAAACACTTAAAATCTCAAGTGAGTTTTCAACGGTAAGTGATTGAAAATGAGATGCGTTAATCACAGTTTTCGGTTAGGTTAACAGTGTTGGCAGCACAAGATGTCCAAGTGGTTCGAGCAGATTTTCATCAAGCGCTTGTACCAGTAGACAACTGAGTTCTCTTTTCAAGTGTACCATAAATTACAAGGGTTAATAACTCTTCCGTGCTCGCAACCACAAATATCTTAAGATATCTGCAAAAATCCGGACCGCGGGTGTCTAACTCGTTCACGCTTAATGTTCACTTTCTATTACTTGTTAACCAGTGTAATAGACTTTTTACGTCAGCGATGTTGTTCAACGTTTTACTTGTTCCATTTGATTGAATTGATAGCCTTAGAAGTTTGAGCTCATGAAAGAATTTCTTGGTGTCTGTGTGTGAGATAGACGTAGGTGATTAGTTTACTGGCAGACCGTTGATGACATCCTTTACTCTCAGCGCTCGAATTGCCTGCTAACTCGCATAAGTGATGTCAGCACAGTTGTAACTGGAGCAAGATCTCAAAGCTGGAAACAATGAAAAGATGCTGAACTGCTGTACTTTTGAGGAAATAGGAAAGTGTTTTGGAGAAGTTGTTACTAGGAACATCTGCGGTCTTTCTTTTTTCCTTTTGGATTTACTGTTTTACCCAAGGTGATATAATTGCGGGAATGCGTTTAGTAGCTGCTTTTTAAATAGAGCTTTATTTTAATTTCGTCACAGTTATTGTCTGTTTTAGACAGTGTTGGAGGTTGCTGACATCTTCGTCGGTCTTGGTGAAGGAGTATTAAGCTTCTTTAAAGCATATTTGGAGAAAAACTCGGAAAGCCGAGCAAGCATGTCCACTATAGTCGACTGCTGTCAGTGAGAGCTCTTTTCTTCGTACGATCTTTTGTAACTTCTTTGTGTTTATAGGCCGCCTGCGAGTGCAAAAATTCGAAAATCTCAACAAGGCTTTGAATTTCTTAAAGAACAAGAACATCCAGGCACGTTTTGTTCAATTTACAACTCAATTTACCGTCTTAGTGCATTGAAATTGGGCAATTCTTCAGAAATCGAAACTTCTATACAAATACTAACCTGCTAATCTTCACTTGTATTAGTTGTAGTTTCATTAGTCCTCGAGTAAATGGAATATACTTCACTGACTCATCCTTGTTTTAATGCCTTTTGTTGCTTACTGTTACTTGCGAGATGGTTGTCGTGGATAATTATTTAGGATTTTGTGACTAGGTTCACTTCTAGTTTGGTTACCCAAAAACTCAGGGACGCTCTGGCTGTTATGAGCTAATAAGCCCATAAGAGGTTGATTAGTCCCAGAAATGCAGCTTCGCAATGTTTCTCTCGCACAAGGCTGCATAAACTGCATACAAGTGAGAATTAGTCCCAGGTGTAAATGCCTGTTATTGTTGCTCAATTTGAGCAAAGCCTGTATGGAAAGCAAAAGAATTTTAATGTGTCATTGGTGAAATTGAGATTCAACTTCGTTGATTACTTGGTTCATAGACGTATTTGTTCAAGAGCACCACTATTTGTTTATTTTAGCACATTTCTTTTGGAAATGTACGTGGTCATGGAATGTGTACTGTTTGCCTGTCAATCAATTTCTATTTTCTAACTTCAAAACATTGAAGCGAAAACGTTCTGCATAGGAATGAGCGCCTTAATCTCCGCCTTATTTAAACGATTATCCTTCGTTTCCAATTCGACACAATAGTGATTGAGATCTGTTGTTTTCAGTAAATTGAGTCTTGAGCTCAATGTACTTATTCTCTACCTATTCTTATTTCCTAATTATGCTATATTTACAATTACTGTTCTGTTCTCTTAGTTTTGCACTAAACTGAGTTTGATTGAGGTCTTTACCTATTCACAGCTAGAAGTCATTTACTTTAAGGATGAAGAAGAGTGATGTGAACGTAAACATCAAAAGGTGTACTTCTATTACGGTGCCAACGGAAAACGATTGGTTACTCCAACGTCAAGGTAGTGAACATTACAAAACGTGGGATGAATTCTCTCGCCTTCAATGCTCTTCTTCACGCACGTAGGTACAGTTATAAACCTGTGGTTTAGTTTTCAATTGCAATTATTGGTTCTACTCATATTTCATCCATTATTGGTTTTACTCATATTTCTTCATTTTGATTTCTTGAAGATAATCAGATGTTTTGGACCGGGGTTGGCGAACTTGAACGCTCTGAATCCTAGTGATTGTATTGGAAGTTCAATTAACGCTCTTGGTATCAGCGAGGAAAAATTGGAAATTGCCGTCTGTCATTCCTAGCAACTCTCTAGAGGAACTTTTTTGATGTAAAAATTTATTGTGAAGTCACATAAATTTGTCGTTTGCCCAGTGAATGAGCAGCTTCTACGCTTAGCGTTATATTTTTAGGAGTCTGCTCGATGTTGAAGGCGTTGATGCGGCTCGTTCAGATGAGAATTTAGTCATCACATGCGTATCACTATGTTATCATCACTTCGCAGAGCAAAAGCGGGAGTTGGCTGGAGCTCGTCGAGTAGTCAACGTGGGTTGTTTTGTTCTTGTTAATCCTTCGTGTGAAAAATCATGTTTCTTCTTGTCTCTTTGTAGATGGTTTGCCCTAAATCAAATATTCACTCTTCTGTGGTCATTCATGTCTTTTCTTCTAATTACTACTGATGAAGGTAATCGTTAAGATGTGAGGGCAATCGACCGTACAATGTGTTTCACATTGAATTTCATGAGTAACATAGTAAACCGACGTATTGTTTGAGCAGAAGAAATCATTTTCTTTATGGATCGTTGGGAAATTGGTCAGCAGTGATATGGAGTTATGAGACAATCGGACAACTTGAGAGTAGGCGGTCTAGTTCTATTTTCTATGTGTACTTATTTATCACATGCTTTTGCGCAATATTAGGAAACATGTCGCGTTTGTTATGAATGCATAAGCCTCCCATTTCTGGATGGCATGAGAGAAGACCTCGGCAAGTTTAATCAATTCCGCACCATTAAGAAACCACCGAAGTGGTTTTTTTAAAGGGTTTTTCGAACAAAATTCATGACCTTTGTTTGAGACTTCAGTACGAATGAAGATAGCACTGAAGATTTTCGCACTGTGGACGTTATCCACAGATATTCACTTTTTTCAGTTGAATGTCTTTTGGTAAGCGGTTCTTTATGTGATAAATTAGAGACGATAGTATTAAATAGTACTAGAAAGCACACCCTACTATTATATGATATATTCATGCAGTTTTACTTCGTCATTTTTAAACCAAAGTTCGCTGAAGATGTTTTCTGTGTGCATGTGGTCGTAAAGGCCTAAGGAGAAAGGAGAAATCGAGGCTTTCTTTCTTTATTACTCAAGCAAAAAGAGAAACTATGGGTGTAAAGGCAGTGTGGTTCTCGAGGTATTTTCGGTTTTGTTGTAACTGCTTTGTTTCAGTATTGAAATGGTTAATGTTCATTAAGTGTTTAGTTCAGAGTTTCAGAGGTGATGCACGATATTGAAATTACTTGGGAGAAATCGGATTGAGCAGAGTTTGACCGTCAGTTGGCATTTATCACAGAGCTCCAGAGGTATTCAGTCATTGGTTAACCATACATAATTATCCTTAATTTACGCTGTTGGTTACTCCGTTTTATTGCAAACAGAAGCGCATTGAACAACCAGCGCGACGTTTTCAAAAAACGGCAAGACTGAGAGAGGTGTGGATCGTCATATTACTTTCGAAATGTCTCTGTTTTACTATTATCAACACAAAGTTGTATTAACTGCCACGACCGACTTTCTATTAACCTCGGCATTGATCAAGTGATTTTCTTCGTATTTTTGTTGAGCAAACGCGAGGTGTTACTGTTCTTTGTTCACGATTAAGCTGACGTTTCGGCGGATTTCACCTTCTTCAGAGCCTGGAAAGGTCAAGTT